GTCTATTTTTTAGTATTTTTTTAAAATGTGAGCGATTGTCCATTAATTTATCTACAATATTCTTTAATATTCGTTTACATCTGACATCAAATAAAAAGGTTATTTGCGATTGAAATTCATCGAAAATTTGTGTGGATCGATTATTTTGCACGTGAGTGTATTATTTGATTATTTTATTAAATATTTCTTAAAAGGGATTTACCATAAACACTGTAAACTGAGTGTAATTGATATCGATTTTCTTGAATACAGGATTTATTAAATTGTACTCGCAGATTCACATTTATGTCCCGTAATTAGTTTTACCAGTCATATTTAATTAGTTGGTGTTACGTTTGGAGTGAGTAGCAACAGTGATTGTGCGAGAGCGACATTTAATTTATCACCACTGTCCGTGGGCTCCTGACATTAAAAGCTCATTTTGAATTACTATCCTGTACATATTAAGAGGTGCGTAAAGGTCTGGATTCATCTAAATATATCCGTTAATAAAGTTTATTGTTATATTATTGCACTTAAATGAAAGATAACCTTCTCGGTCTGGTTTAAATTAAAAAATAGAGTAAAAAGCAAAAATGACCTCGGCGAGCGAATGAATCATATTCGGGTTGGTAGCTTGGGATGTCGGGTGGGAAGTGGCGAGAGCTGGAAAATAAAGAGAGGGAATAAAGGGAATGCGTGTGTAACGGCGGAGAAATCAGCACATAAATCAGCAGTGTGTTTCACGTTAGTAACATGATTTAAATCATTGTAATTACATCTAAGGTCTTACGTTATTCTGTTCAAAGTCGTGAAAAAGCTCTGGTGTACCAAGATTTATGGCCTACAATAGAGTCTGCGATTGGTTTCGGCGGTTGCCAAAAACATATCTCGCCCCGAGCGTTAAGACTTTCGAATAGGTCGATCTTCGATCCAGTGCCGTGCACAAAAACAGTTCTTTTTAATTATTACTGTTAATAAAATTCTCATTTACTATAATGAAGCAGCAATGTTGAGCTTTTATAAAATAATGTCCATCCAACAAAGTAATAGTTGTTATCATATTGATTAATGTTTTTGTTAAATCTATAGTTGTGTGAATTGCGCTTACATAAAGTAATGCGCAGTTGTTATAGTAAAATTTGTTCATTTTACTATGGCATATTTGTCTTTTTTAAATTACTATCGTTGTAATTCAAATTAATTTTATTTCAGAAAATCTTACGTTAAGAACAATAACAAAAATATTTTATTGTTATAAAAAGACTTTTTTTAATATTTACTATTGTTTTGCAATGGTAACAAAATTTTTGTTATTTCCCTTAAAAAGAGGGGGAAAGGTATGGCAAGCCGTTTCAGTTTTTATTACACATGGCTATCAAGTCTCATTTTAATTCGACTTGATTTCTATAGAAATCAAGTCGAATTAAAATATCATATATGAGACATTAGATAATTGAAATTATATGTATTTTCCTTAAGGGAAATTACATTTTTATTATAGTTTCAAAATTGAATGCATATTTTCTTTACAAATAGTAAAAATAATGCATTTGTTGTATTTATTTCCATTGGTTTTTTAAATATTGTCTTTAACGTGAAAGCAATTTTCGTTAAGAGAAATTTTATTAAATTTACTAATTATAATTTTAATGCAAATTATTTTTACTGTTTTAGTTTTTTGGAGCAATTTTATGACACATTAAAAGGATTTTATTTTAATTCAATTTTATTAAAGTAGCTTCTGACTTGGATACAATGTTACATTTTATTTAGGTTAGACCAGGCTAAGTATTAAAATAAAACGAATTAAAATTACTATTACGAATATAAATGAATTTGTCCTTAAAGATATAGTTTTATACTTTCCTAAATGACATAAAAATTAAAAACATTTTAATTTAAAATACTCATTGAAATGTTGTTCCCGAATAAAATTTAGAACCGCAATATATAGTCTAACAATATTTAGAGAATCAGAAAATAACATCGAATTAAAATGAGACTTGATGATCATGTGTACAAAAAATAGCCCGAATTACTTTTATTTTTAACTAAACAAAAATGAACTTCTGGTTCCGTTAAAGAAAATTACAATTCCCTTAACGAAAATGTTATTTCCCTTAACGGAAATGCTATTTCCCTTAACAGAAATTACATTTTCCTTAAGAGAAATGCCAACTTTGGTTGGGATGTCAGAATCTTTCATTTTGTTTGAATGCAACAAATATGACACAATTAACAATAATTAATAATATTACTACTACAGTTTGCTATTTACTACTTCTTTTCGTTTTAATAACCTTTATTAAAAACGTCAAAACACACTTTACACATGCGGAGTTGCCACACAAAATTCGATTCGAATGATGCGATTCCAAAGTCGATCGGTGTCATTGCGATTCGATTCGGAGAGTTTCGTTTTCTCGAGTAGTACCCATAATTATTAATATTACTATTATTATAACATTATCAATAAAAATTTTGTAATAATTTTCTGAAAATTCAATAATTTTGTTAATATTATTCGATAATTTCACTTTTTACATCTGGCAACACTGGTGGGTAATATTTTTTGGGTGGATGTGTAACGGTTGGTTGGTTAAAAAGGTTGGTAAAAAAGGTTAAAAAGGTAACAATCAAAAAAATTGTTTTTACTAATAAATCTTTTGTAAAATCACAGTGCAATAATTTCATTTTATAGAATTTTGATAAAATTAACTATTTGAACTTCAGCCGTCCTCTCATAGATGGCGCCAATTTCCCTTAACGGAAATGCTATTTCTGTTAAGGGAAATACAATTTCTCTTAACAGAAATGATATTTTCCTTAAGGTAAATTGTATTTCCGTTAACGGAAATGCATTTAAATTCTTAATTATAATAAAAACTACTTTCCTTAACGAAAATTGCATTAAAATTACTATTTGTCATAAAAATAATTTTTAAATTATTATTATTTCAAATTAAAATTAACTGTTTTAGTATTTTTATTACAATTCCGAATGTAAATCATCCTCTACATCTAATCTTTTCAATTTAATGTACCCAAAATTTCAATGCTTATTAAATTTAAAAAGGAATTTTATTTATAATTTGTAATTAAAATGTAATTTCCCTTAAGGAAAATACATATAATTTCAATTATCTAATGTCTCATAGAAATAAAGTCGAATTAAAATGAGACCTGATCGCCATGTGCAATAAAAACTAAAAGGGCTTGGTGAACATAACTTTATAACAAACTACAAAGTCTTGTTAACAAATTTGATTTTTATAACAGTGATATTTTTCATTTAATTAAATTATAAGCAATTTTTTATTTTCTTTCCGATACGCCACTGTGTTTTGGGTGCACTCTAGTTGCCTTTAGGCGAACGGAAACCAATTGCCCGAAATACTATCGACAATGACAGAGTGGAAAATGTGCTGTAGCACAATATCATTGCCATCCAAAGTATTTTTTCTTCCGCATTCATATTGTTATTCGAAAACGCGCATTTGATTTATAGATGCTAAGAAATTGGTAATAAACTCGAACGGAAAACAAAGTAGTGAACGAATAAATCTTTTTTGTATGCTTTTGTTCTATTCGACTTTTACTTGGACAATTCCATCCCTTTGGTATGGAAAAAACTGTTAGTTCTTTTATATTTGTGATTTTTTTGGAAACATTTTGGTATTAATATAATAATACCAAAATAATAATAATAATAATAATTATTATTATTATAACTATTATTGCAAAACTTTGCAACTTTTTATAAAGCTTAAATAAAAAACTGGAAAGCTTTCATAATTTAATTTTTAACACTTATCTTATTTATTCAAGGTTTTAGATGACAGATTCTACCATTTACACTTTTTATTATTAATTAAAAACATTAATTTAGGTTTATTACAGTCAATCTGTAATTTTTTTTGAAAAAAAATTGACCATAGGAATTTTTTTTTTTGGGTCACCCCAACTTTGCGGGATCTTAGTATTTTAAGAAAATTTTCTGGAAAAATTATTCCAATTCCTCCTACAAATTTTGTTTTTTAGAGCAATGAAACTCTTTTTTGATGAAACAGATTCGACAATTTGAATGGATAAATATATGCAGAAAAAAAGGTGCTTTGCTAACTTTGCTTACAACAACATTACCCAGTATTTTTAAAAAGTTACAATTTCACAAAGAAAACATGTGATTTTCCTTGCCATTTTCCAACAATAGAAATAACTGTAGGTGTTTATATAATCCAAACAATAGAAAACCATACCTCGGCATAGAATTTCATTGAATTTCAATTGATTTGTATTCATGCTGCGTTATTAGGGTACCAGAGACCTAACACAGACGTCATATTAAACAACTTTATACAGTCATTCCCTTCAAAATTGTTCTCAAAGGTGTATTATACGAGGGCAAATTAAACACATCCAAAGCAATCGAATCAAATATAAAATATTATTAAAAATTAAAAGAAATAATTTTTATAACCATTTATGTAGGTGTTACAAAAATTGATTCTATCCTCCGTGAATCTGTTTTTGCCTTAAATTTTACGCAACGGATGGCGCTTTAATCATTTTAAATAAGCAAAAACCTCTGTTTACGACATCATAGATGCATGTGATTTCTAAAGGTCAGTTAGAATTTATATGCAGATGAGAGTGTTGCTGTTTTATAATTCAAAAGTTTAAGTTTATTAATTTGCTATTTAAAAACCTATCCACCGTAAAGTGTAATATCTCAGTAAGTAGATTTTTTTATAAATATTTTAGGTATGTAGAATTGTATTTAAAAAAATATTAAGGTGTCAAAAGAAACAATAACTTATTTCAAATATACAAAGGGATGTTTAAAAACATAAGAAATCCTAACCTCCGTGAAGCTCTAATATTCAAAATGTATGATTTCTTAAAATTCTTGCATTAGTGCAGAACCACTTATGTTATGTTATTACTAGACCTGGTGGCTTCCCAAAAACCCTATGCTAGACTAACAGTGAAACAACCAAAAATAAAAAATAATCATTTTCACTTCAATCATATACATTTTATTTAAAAAAATAGTTTTACATAAAAAATATTATTTTTTAATTAACCCCCGAACATGTTGTGTCCATGAGTGAATTGCAGTCCAACATTGGCCTCAGGTCTCGTATTTCCCCACTTGGTGAAACTTTGACTGGCTCCCCCAAACGCCTCCAATTTGGTATTTCTATCGGGAGCCCAAAGGGTACGGGAAGCCTTAATGTCGGCTTGCGTGCCCCAGTTGGGGATATGAGTGGCTGAAGCTTTAATATTCGTATCTGTAATCAAATAATTGTAAAACTGTTTTCTGTGTGATTATTGTGGTATATTACCGGTTGGTATGTGATGGTATCCAATGGATCCTCCACCTACCAATGGTCCGTTGGGGTTGAAATTTTTACTGGCGTGTCCACCACCAATGATCTCGTGATTACCTTTTGCCCAAATCGTTCCTTCTTGTCCTAATTGCACGTTGGTACCTCCAGGACCTTTTGCCACGTCCCAGGTGGTGTCTCTGCGCAAATAAAATCATTAACAATCATTGTTCAGGTAGTAACACTGTATTTCTTACCTTTTTTGTCTTTGCATTGGCACCAAGTAAAACTGTTGTCCATCATCATCCTCAAAGATATCCAGTGGAAGGGCTGAAGCCCAGGCCAAAAAGGCAACAAACACTAAATATGATTTCATTGTGTTGATACTTGAAATAGAATAAATAAAACTGAATTTAGTTGGGTTTATATAGTTAAGAGTTTTTTTAAATTGGGAATCCCATCATTTGTATATCTCCTAAGAGATAACTACAATACTTCTGGTTTAATAATATCAGTGCGGGAATAACCTTTAGTAACCCGAGATGAATAATCGTATACGGTAATTTACAATACATTGTTAATGTTATTGAGTAATTAATTTATTGCAAGATTTTGTTTATATATGGGTGGTTTTCAAAAAACACCGCCTTTGTTAAAAATTATCGGATCTTATTGATTTAAAAACCAAGTGAAAGCCTAACAAGCCCTTAGTAAACTCTTTCGTTTTATAAAACTTACATACATATTTTTTTTAATATTGAATAACCAGAACTTTGTGTTGCTTTATAGCAATCCATAACATCCTTAGTTAATACAGTAAACATTTTATATATAAAATAATTAATTTTAATCTACTTTTTTTAAATTTGACTCATGTCCCAGACATTTTTTCCGTTGCGTTACGTCCGTCGCGTTACCGTCGGTAACTTACCGATAGAATATTAAAAAAAAAACATATATATGGCAACTTTTTTGGTACTCACGTGATCAACAAATGATGTTCGGACGTACACATTACCCAGCTGAATTTATTTATTCAATCAGGAAGAAGATATCGGTTGAAACAGGTGCGGGTAACGCAAATGTAATAATTGTTTGTCCGCTAAGTTACTTAAAAAAATAATAAAAATAAGGTAAGAAAAAATACTATTTTTCATGTTTATGTTTATTTTAGAGAGTAATTAATGACTATAATGTCTTATTATTATTTTTTAAATATGGTTTTACAAAACTTTGTCCACTGCGTTACCGAGTCCACTATGTTACCTTATGGTAACGCAATGGAATTAAGGGTAACGCAATAGAATTTTTCGACAACAAAGTGGATATTTACCGTCGCTTTTATTAAAAGTAGTTTATGATTAACCAATTTAAAATTATTTGTAATTACAACTCATGATATAGATTACATCCAAGGAAAAATTCCACGCAATATAAAAGTACTAAAAGGGACCTTCGCCAGCTTATAGTCAAAGAAAAAGGGTGTCTACAATTTAGAAATCTAAGTTGTTATTCTGCAAGTGAGCACCACTACAAGGGATTTTGTTTGTGCACAAGTATACTTAATTATGAAAGATCAAAACACAATAAAAGTGTAGGTCAAACCATCGGGAGACATTTTGTGAGAAAAAAATACGTTTTAATAAACCTTATTAAGGACAAACTGGGCGAATCTGCTACCATGGCACTTTTTATTTATATTCAAGCACTAAATCACGAAATAAAACTGGTCCCAGCGTGCCATTTCACTTAAACCCTTTTATTTTAACTTTTTGGCCGAACATATTTTAAGCCATTATTATACAGTACGAACAAATCCACGGTGAATAAAAAGAGGCAAAGCTCTGAAAGAAAACGTTATCGTCGACCACTCCCTTTCCCAGTCCCTCGGTCCTGTCAGGTAGAGTCCCTTTTTCGTTCCCGAAAGGACTCAGACACTCCTGTAGGATGTTGCTAAACAACGGAGAAGATTAATGGCCCAATAAATTACGATACAGATATACGAATTATTTTTGTATGGACCAAATAAATTATTTTTATTTCTTTTTAATTGCACTGTAATACTAAAAGCAGAGTTTAAAAAATGTTAATGTAAACAATAATGCAATCGTCATTTTTTGTAGTTTGAGGGTCATTTTCAAGAAACACCCGCTTTCAGGAAAATGAAGATCAAAATATTTTTTTTGCTTAAATTGACTTTTGGTTGGATTTTTATAAATGTTTAGAGTTTTGTTTACTTTTTAATTTTTTTTACGTTTTTTTTCAGAAAAATGTGTTTAGCTAGCTTTCTATATCTCCACTGTGTTACCAATTTGAAATCCAAAATTTAATTCAATATAAAAAGTTGTTATAAAAATAATTTGAAATAAGTATTTTTTTTAACAAAAACTAAAAAAAGTAACGAAATAGACATTGGTACACAAAGGACTTAATCAGATAACGTAAAAAAGAAACTATATAGGGTGGTACGATTTTAGAGTAATGCATAAACAAAATCCCTTGTAGTGGTGCTCACTTGCAGAATAACAACTTAGATTTCTAAATTGTAGACACCCTTTTTCTTTGACTATAAGCTGGTGAAGGTCCCTTTTAGTACTTTTATATTGCGTGGAATTTTTCCTTGGATGTAATCTATATCATGAGTTGTAATTACAAATAATTTTAAATTGGTTAATCATAAACTACTTTTAATAAAAGCGACGGTAAATATCCACTTTGTTGTCGAAAAATTCTATTGGGTTACCCTAAATTCCATTGCGTTACCATAAGGTAACATAGTAGACTCGGTAACGCAGTGGACAAAGTTTTGTAAAACCATATTTAAAAAATAATAATAAGACATTACAGTCATTAATTACTTTCAATGAGCTTTAGTGCCCTAAAATAAACAGAAAAAAGTATTTTTTCTTACCTTATTTTTATTATTTTTTTGAGTAACAAACAATTATTACATTCGCGTTACCCGCACCTCTTTCAACCGATATCTTCTTCCTGATTGAATAAATAAATTCAGCTGGGTAATGTGTACGTCCGAACATCATTTGTTGATTACGTGTGTGCCAAAAAAGTTGCCATATATATGTTTTTTAAATATTCTATCGGTAACGCGACGGACGTAACGCAACGGAAACAATGTCTGGGACATGAGTCAAATTTAAAAGAAGTAGTTTAAAATTAATTATTTTATATATAAATTGTTTACTGTATTAACTAAGGATGTTATGGATTGCTATAAAGCAACACAAAGTTCTGGTTATTCAATATTTAAAAAAAAAACATGTATGTAAGTTTTATAAAACGCTAATGGGACATGCGAAAATGTGTGATTGACAAGTGATGAACATTCTTTTATAATAATAATCTCCTTAATGCATTAAAAAAATAATGCAATATTTGCAACTCTGACTAAAATACATAATGATGTTTCCTTCAAAGCTAAAATTGAGAATTGAGAATTCAAAATTAGAATTATTCGATTCTCCTAATTAGGGCGGTACAAATCTATAGGCATGCAAAGTTTGAGAATGAGATTTAGCGATTTGGGAGGTAAAGTTTATTAGGGGACCCCAAGGCGCCAGATTATACCTGATTCCCCCGACAACCGTTATCACAATTCACAATTTGAACTACTTTATTATTAAACTTTGGCCCGCATGCGAATCTAAAATGAAAAGGGGAACCAAATAACGATTAAAATTTACGCATCACTAACAGCAATTTAATAAGAAATATTAATTAGATAGGTATACTTAAGTTCTTCAAATTAAAAAGTCTGTTTTTAAACACTTTATTTTCAATTTAAAACAAGATATAATATTTTATATATAAATATACAGACGCAAGAATCAGAATGTTACATTTTTGTGTTTAAAACGATATATCGTTGTAATTCAACTTAATTTTATTTCAGTTAGAAAATCTTTGTTAATAGCTTACGTTAAGAACAATAATAAAAATATTTTATTGCCATAAAAAGACTTTTTTAATATTTACTATTGTTTTGCAACGGTAACAAAATTTTTGTTATTTCCCTTAAAAAGGGCGAACATAACTTTATAATCCAAAGTATGTGTTATAATCTCATTGATTTCACTTGTGCGAGTGAAGTGTGGTAAAATTTAGCATGATAAAAATATCAAAAAGATCACTAAGAAAATTAAAATTTAGACGTTTTCTAAAAGAAACATTTAAGGTCTATTCTATAAAACAATACCCAACAGTAGGTTGAAAATGTGACCATTGTTACAATGAAAATAGTTTATTGAATTAACAATTAAATTCAATTTTTAAAACCTTGTGATTCGATAACAATTTCTCAAAAAAAAATATTGTTTTTATAAACAAAATCTTGTTAATATTTAATTTTATAATTTATGAAAAGCATTACCGGATAGCAGTTTGAGTTTAGTAATAAAATAAACAAACTTGAAATTACTTTGCTACCTTTTACTGCGTAAATAAGCAAAGAAAATTTGCTGCAAATAAACTGAATTCTCGGAATTGTCTTCGAAGGGACAATTTCAATTCCGCTTGGCATACAAACAGCTATAAAAAGTAAACAAAAGAAAGATAAATCCTTGAAAACAATTAAGAGGCAATAAAACTCGCGAGGATGAAACAATTGCTATTCACGGGCTGAAGAAGTGTGTTGTTTGGAAAAGTTTTAATGAAAAAATAATGAGCCGGAGCAGGAAAAGAAGGGTGTATAATATTAGACTTTCCCAGAGATAATTTTACGGTGAAGAATATTTTGCCGTTAACGCCAAATTGCTAATTAACTTCTTTAAAGGTTGGTTTACATACCACTTTTACTAGTTCTAAGGTGCCCTTAAACTAAAGTAGTCATCTAAAAATTATTAGCGGTAAGAAACAATATTTTAGCTTATAGAAAAAAGTTCTTAGTGGAAGAAGTACACAGTAAAAAATTTTGCCCGTGTATATTTTTTAGTGTAGGGGTAAAAATATTAGAGTTGGTTTGTAAGTGTAAAAGTTACACTACAAAATACACTAGGTAGCATTTAGTGCTTATTATCTTTATTAAACACATTTAAAGAATATGAACATTATTTATTGGTACATTCACACTATTTATTATTAAAATAAATCAAAAGGGTAGAAAAACTTAATGCGAGTGTTTATTACCCCTTAATATGTTAAATAGTGACAAAATGTACACTACAGTGCATGCCAATTTCTTTGTCTGGTTTGATGTTACTAAGAGCTCTTTTTTCCTTACACTACTAGTGCACATTGTATCACAATTAAAGTTAAATTACACCAATAGTGGCAAAATAGACTGAAAAAACTGGTAATAACCGAAATGCGTTTTAAAATGTTTGGTTGGTACCCATCTACCTACGCAGTGCATATCCGAAGATACCGCGTTGTGGAAGTGTGGCATTTTTGTTCAGTTAGATTTTAATTACGGTGAATCCATAAGAGGATATTCTTATTTTTTGGTAAGTATTATACACTTCCTTTTTCTTTAAGCCTTAATACTCAATAAATACCAATATGTTAAAAGGATGTCCATACCCGACCTATATTAATTATTAACAATTTACGGCAGTAGGTCGGGTACTTGTAGCATTAATAATATAAATACATACCTACACACTTGATTTAATTTTTATTTTCAAGCGTAATGGTTGTTATATTAACCTATACCTACATTTTTATTAATATTATGGAAAATTTGTTTACGTGTGGTAAATCCCCGACATACTGACGCCTCTCTACCTATGAGATCACCAATTTTTTATAACAGAAAAAGGGATTACTGATGAATTCTAAGATAATTCATTGCTTACAAGTTGACAGTCAGTAAAACATTGCATTGGTCTTAAACTTTTACGTTTTAAAGAACCACTTTGCTTAAGCCAGCCATACGACTCAAATATAAAATTATATTTTAAAAGGCACCGATTTTGATAATTGTCATAGATTTTTGTTCCAAATAAATGTTTTATTCACTACCACCAATAAGTTTTACTCAAATAATAGTGTTAATTTACACTAGAAGTACCTTTCTAAAATTAGAACTTTTCCAAAGTAGTGTTAATTTACACCGAACAAAAGTGGGATTTTACCCAGGAAGTGTAGAAGTACACGATTTTAGGTAAATTAACACTTTTTAATATAGTGTAAAATTACTTTATCCTCAGTGCCATAGTGTTAAATCATACTTGCTTACTTGGGGAAAATTACACTACAAATTAACTCTAATTGTAGTGTTATAAAACAACACTATTTAGTGTGGACCTGTGTGAACTCTAATTAGTGTTGCTTAGAGTTGATTTTTTTTTTACTGTGTAAGCTTTTCAATTAAGAGATGCAGTTTTTTTGTTAAAATCCCATTTTTTTAAATGTTTTCTTCATTTAAAAGATAAATATCTCCCGAAGAAATATTTTTGGTTCTTGTACCAAGAAATCGCTTGCTCTTGATTTAGGCTATAGTAGGAAGAGCATAAGGGAAGTTGCACGTGAATTGGAAAAGATTAATTTCAAACTGTAATGTACAATATTTTTCAATTGTTTCGTCATAAATTAATATCCTTTATTTTATCAGTTTTAATTATTGCAGCAATACATTGTATGTGCTCAGATTGCTGGAGGACAGGAAATCGTTTGCAGGATCAAATGTCATTAAAGGCGCGCCAGAGTAGCAGGGCATAATGTCCAATGGGAAATCAAAAAACACTTTTCTCCGCTTGCGTTACGTCGCACATTTCAGGTCAAAACCTGAAAACTGCTGTAACTTGTTAAGCCGGCCAGATTACCACTTTTTTCCTTCCTTTGTTCGCATTTTCCGAACTGGGGACGACAATATTGCATTGGTAAGTAATTTGTAAAATTAATTTATGTTCTATTGTCAAAGGATTTATTTAATTAATGGCCATGTTATTTATTTTTAGCTTTTATCGCGACACGAGTTTGATTTTGATAATTCCTCAATTTCAAAATAATTTAATTAAAATGAAGGTTCTTGCAATTTGAAAGTTTTACTACAGGGTATAGTAAAACTTAATTTTAAGATAAACACAATTAAGGAGGGTAGGTATACCTCTCAACTACCTAATTAGAGTTAAACTTTATATTAGTTAATAAAACAGATTGAACTAACTTAAAACCAATTTTAAATGTTGTTTTCTTCTATAAGATAATCTTATAAACAACAAACTGAAAGTATATTTAAGTTTAGGGTTTTCCAAATTAAATTGTCTTTCAAAATATGTAAAAATATACAGGGTGTCCCATTTAAAAAAATGTTATTTTTGTGAGTATTTAGAAATCCAATTTTTTTATCACCATTTTAATAAGAAGTATATTGTTAATCAAATACTTTAACGAAGAATCATTGGTAATGTAGGTATGGGTCTCAGTTAACCTAAAAATATAAAGTATACGCATTCATAAAGTTTTTCCTTCTGGAAATCCTGTTTTTAACGAAATAATTTTTTGGCCAAAATTGGCCAATTTTCAAAATGCTGTAACACGAATATTTTTTGTCTGATTTTAATGAAATTTGGAAAATTTCGTAGCTTCAACTTTCATCTACTCTATTGTTTTAAAAGATTTGTCACTGCATTTTGAATTTTAAAAATTATCGAATTTTGGCCAAAAAACGATTTTTTTTAGGCCTATAGCAATTTTCTTATTATAACACTAATAAGCATGTATAGAAAGACTTCATAACAAAAATGTAAACTTACAGGTCACTGTAGAATAAATTACATAACCTATAATATAACATGTGTCAAACGTCAAAAATGACAAAATGTCGCACTTTATCCAAGATTGGCTTTTCTAAATAGTTTGTTAAAGTCAATTTTCTATAATTTGTTGGAAACAGGATGATATATTTAACCATTTGCACAATATTGTCAAGAAAAGATTTAACATCTGTTGTAAAAAATATTTAAAAAATAAATGTTACTGTTTTGTACAATTTTTTAAATAATTTGTATAAATATAGT